CAGATGGAGACTGATTAGAAGCTAGATCCTCAGATAGCAGCTGGGAAAGTATGCATTTAAGCCCCTTGAAGGGCTAAACTTGGAGATGACAGATGGCCTTTGGCCTGCTCCCTCTGTGCTGATGCAAGGTATATAACCATGGAGGAGGGGGTACTCCTACACCTTTTAAGAACTGTTTCTTTGTTTGTTACAGTGTGGTGGAGCTCATGAATACAAGCCCCATTGGCTGTCAGAGCTAGGTGATCCAGTGACTTGTCCCTCAGGTGGGAGTCACAGAAGCTGAGGGACCAGATATGTGTATACGCTCCTTCCAGGGAGATAGTGTTGACTTAGTTTTATTATTGGAGAAGACTGGAGGGAGAAGATGGAATATGTATCTGCTGGCTTTTTTGGTCTCTGGGGATGGTTGCAGCCTGTCCCTAGTGCCAGCTAAAATTAGAAGCCTGGCTCTCAGGCAGCAGCTTTTAAAGTTTGCAGATAAACCTCTTTTAGGGAAAGACTGGGAGATGGGTGATTTTGCCTGCTGTCTCTGCGCTAAGCCTTATGGGGTAGCCTGTTAGGAATTGCTTCTTTGTTTGCTACACTTCTGTGGGACTTGTGAATGGAAGACTGGCTATCAGAGCCAGATAATCCAGGAATGCATCTCTTGGGCAGAAGCTATAAAATTTGGGGTGCACAGGTGTGTACAAGCTCCTTTGAGGCAGGTATTGGCAACTTGGAATGGACTGAAGGGAGAAGGTGGGATAGGTGTCTGCCATCTTCCTTGGTCTATGGGGAGGATTGCTACCAGCCCCTAGTACCTGCTAAATTGGAATCCTGGCCCTCGGGCAGTAGTTATTAAGGTATGCAGATAACCTTCTTTCAGGGAGAGGCTGGGAGATGGGTGATTTTGCCTGCACCGTCTGTGCTAAGCCCTGGAGGGATAGCTGCAGTGAGTGCTTGCATGCCTGTTAATAGTTGCTTTTTTGTTTCCTATAGTCTTGTGGGTCTCTTGAACATGAAGCCCACTGGGTTTCAGAGCTAGATGTTTGGGGAGCCTGTCCCTCTGGTGAAAGTCTTAAAAGTTGAGGTCTAAAATTTGGGGAGTCCAAATTCTTTGCTCCTCAAGAAGAAGCTGGAAGTTGGGGTTCCCTCCAAATTGTGCGGGGTGAGGTTTCTGGTAAAAGTGTGTGTTAGCTTTTCCTATCTGTTTTGAGGTAGGTATTTTCTCATTTGTGGATGTGTAGGAATCACTCGGCTAGCTTACGGATCTCTTTCAGAGGGAATTTCTCTGTGCGTAGTTGTACATTCAGTGCATCCATGGGAGAAGGGGAGCTCAGGAGCCTTGTATGTCACTGTTTTAGTCAACTCCCAATCTAGAGTTTCTTTTAATGAGGTTTTGCTGGTAATTTGCTGGTAATACATGCTCCTATTATCTTTGTCTCAAATTGTCATTATTTCACTTTTGGTTTTTTGTTACAAACTATTTTTTAGAGCAGTTTTAGATTCACAGCAAAGTTGAGCAGAAAGTACAGAGAGTTCCCATACACCTTGTGTCCCCATACACACACATCCTCCCCACTACTGAGATCCTTCACCGCAGCAGTACATTTGTTAAAATTGATGAGCCTACAGTGACACATCATGATCACCCAAAGCCCATAATTTACATAAGAGTTACTCTTGGTGTTGTACATTCTTGTTTTTGACAAATGTGTAGTGACATGTATATACCATTATAGTATCATACAGAATTCGTTCACTGCCCTAAAAATACGCTGTTCTTGGCTTATTTATTTCTTCTTCCCCCGAGCCCTCCAACCCCTGGTGATCACTGACCTTTTTAGTGTGTTCATAGTTTCACCTCTTCCAAGATATGTGGAATCATATAGCATGTAGCCTTTTCAGATTGGCTTCTTTCACTTAGTAATATGCATTTAAGGTTCCTCTATGTCTTTTCATGGCTTAATAGCTCATTTCTTTTTAGCATTGAATAATATTCCATTTTCTGGGTGTACCACAGTTTATCCACTCACCTACTGAAGGATATCTTGGTTGCTTCCAAGTTTTGGTAATTACAAATGAAGTTTCTATAAACATTCATGTGCATGTTTTTATGTGAACATAAGTTTTCAACCCCTTTGAAGAAATTCCAAGGAGCACACTTGCTGAATTGTATAGTAAGACTACGTTTAGTTTTATCAGAAACCGCCAAACTATCTTCCAAAGTGGTTGTGCTATTTTCCGTTCCCACCAGCAATGAATGAGAGTTATTATTGCTCCCCAGCCTCACTAGCATTTGGTGTTGTCAAGTGTTTTTGATTTTGGCCATTGTAATAGATGTGTAGTTGTATGTGTTATTTTAATTTGTGATTCCCTGATGACATATGATGTTGAAAATCTTTTCATATGCTTATTTGCCTGCATGTCTTCTTTGTTGAGGTGTCTGCTCTGATCTTTTGCCCCTTTATTAATCAAGTTCCTCATTTTCTTATTGTTGAGTTTTAAGAGTTCTTTGTATATTTTGGATAATAGTCCTTTAGCAGATGCATCTTCACAAATATTTTCTCCCAGTCTGTGGCTTGTTTTCTTATTCTCTTGATCACTTTCATTTTTGAAAGACATTTTCCATGAGATATAGGGTTCTAGTTTACCAGCTATTTTTTTTCTTTTAGAATTTTAAAGTTACCACTCCATTGTCTTTTAGCCTTCAGAAAATTTCAACCTACCTATCATTTTCTTGAAGGTAATCTTTTACTCTTTGGAGGTTTTAAAGACTTTTCTCATTGAGTTTGATTTTCCACAGTTTCACTACAATGTTTTTTATCTATGGATTTTTTTATTTATTCAGCTTTATTGTTTCTTTAATATGTCCATTCCTGTCTTTTATTTGTTCTGGAAAATTCTCAGCCAGTTTTTACTATTACTTTTTATATTCTTGCTCTTCTCTCCTACAGCTCTGATTAAACATTTGTTTAACCCTTCATATTAAAAGATATCTTCTGGGGCTTGCCTGGTGGCATAGCAGTTAAGTTTGCACACTCTGCTTTGGCACCCCAGGGTTCACAGGCTCAAATCTGTGGTGCAGACCTAGCACCTCTTGTTAAGCCACACTGTTGTGGCATCCCACCTAAAATAGAGGAAGACTGGCACAGATGTTAGCTCAGTGACAATCTTCCCCAAGCAGAAAGAGGAAGCTCAGTGACAATCTTCCCCAAGCAAAAAGAGGTAGATTGGCAACAGATGTTAGCTCAGGGTCAATCTTCCTCACCCAAATAAAATAAAAATAAAACGATATCTTCTATTTTTTCTACCTTTTCTACAGGCTACAATGTGCTTTCTAAATAATACATTCTGTTCTAATTTGTAGCTCACTAATTTTCCCTTTTGCTGTATCGAATTTGCTTCAAAGTAAATCCACTGAGATTTTAATTTTATTTATTGTATTTTTAATTTCTAGAACTTATGCTTCTGCTGTTTCTTATAGTCTGTTGATATTTTCCTGTTTCCTGTAGGCATTTTAAAGTTTTTTAACGTAGTAATTTATTTTTTTGAATGTAGTAAGCAGAGTTATTTTTAAATCTGTATTGTTAATTTCAATATCTGAAATTTGTGCAGAGCTATTTCTGCTGTCCATTGTTTTTGCTGGTTCTCACTCATGTTGCCATATTTATTGAGTGTCTTTCTATCTTTGGCTGTTCGCTTGTATTTAATCTTGAAAAATTAGCTCTGAGAGCTCTTTAGGGTCACAGATGGAAGTTCCTTCCACTAGAACAGCATCATTGTTTACTTTTTCCAGGCACTTGTAAGTACCACTAGTCAGGAACCACCTCAGAGTAAATCTACAGCCTGAGATTTCTTGGCTGACCTAAGCTATTGCTAACCCAGCTGTAAACCTGAATGAGGGTTAGACCATGGGCCCAACTTCCTATATCTAGTTTTGTCTTTCCTAATTTTTATACTCTGCTTCTGCCAGAGCAGCTGTTCTACAGGCTTCTCTGTGGTGGGGGTGGAGGGAGTGATTTTTCTTCTGGTTGATTCTTAATCTGAGTGTGTAGTCCTTTAGGGTCCCAGTGTAATGTGGGAAATATCTCCAGTAAGATTTTTCACCTGGGCAAGTTCTTCCTCTGACTTCTCCACTCTCCCCATGAAGACTCTGAACCAAAGCCCAAGTGTGTAAGGTGTCCAAATGCCCAAGACATTTGTGTGTACTGATATTTTGCTAACCTTTCTCATTACAAAATTGGCCTTGGAATTTTCTTTCTGTCTTTTCAGCTTTCCAGTTATTCTAAGATGATTTAAAACACATTTTATCTAGCATCTTTATTGTTTTCAATGCAATAGTTGATACAAATAACCTAGTCACAATGACCAGAAAACCAATCTTTGTTTTTCTTTCTTTTATAATTCTTTGTTACTAGTGTATAAAATTTAATTAATTTTTGAGTTTAGATTTATTTGTCAACTATGATACAGTTTTTTTTTTTTGGAGGAAGATTAGCCCTGAGCTAACTGCTGCCAATCCTCCTCTTTTCATTGCAGAAGACTGGCCCTGAGCTAACATCCATGCTCATCTTCCTCTACTTTCTATGTGGGATGCCTACCACAGCATGGCTTGCCAAGCGGTGCCATGTCCGCACCCAGGATCCGAACTAGCAAACCCCGGGCCGCCGAAACAGAACATGCGCACTTAACTGCTGTGCCACCGGGCTGGCCCCCACGATACAGTTTTTAATATTTTATCTTTACAATACAGCTCAAGCAACCAAGTTCCTAGCATACCATAGATTCTCAATAATATTTTACATGATTATTTAGCTATGTATATATATCAATGATATATATATATATCAATGTATATATACAAATATATTATATATGTATATACATATATATACAATACATATAGAATGTATATACAATACATATACATATATATCCATATATATACAATGTATATACATATATATACACATTGATAGCAATATATATATATAGCAATGTGTGTGTATATATATATATATATATACACCAAACCATTACTTTGTACGCCTTAAATTTACGCAATGTTATATGTCAATTATATCTCAATAAAGCTGGAAACTTATTTTAAAATAAATAAACAAGTTGAAAACAGAAATTGTAGTACAGATTACCTTATGGTCAATTTTTGCAAATGTTTCATGTGCACTTGAAAAGTGTGTGTATATATAAATTTGTTACAGGGATTTGACTTTACACAATTGTGGGAGCTGGTTAAACAATCTCTGAAAGGTTCTTGTCTTCTCATCTGATGTTAGAGCTTGAAGTCTGCAGGGCAGGCATTTGGGAAGGAAAGATGGATGTAAAGTGGGAGAGATCAGGAACAAGCTGGAAACTACTAACATGAGCTGGAACCTAAGAGGAAAGACTGGAACAATGTCAGTTCTCACTACTCCAAGCATAACATAGGTGTCCTGAAGGAAAAACTACTGCTGTTTGTCCTCAAGCTGAACATACATCTGGCTCAGCAGTTGGAGAACCTGAAGGAGGATCCAGTGGAAGGTGAAAGAGCTGCAGGACTAGCAGCTGCCCCACACCAACAAGGTGAGCCAGCAAATATGTGACATCTGGTGACCGCCCTGAACTTGTGCGTGTGAAAATACAGTGTGACTGCTGCTTCACTACATCCTCTGAATCTCAGGCATAAATGTCCCTTGTGGCCCACCGTAACCAGAAACATGCTGAACAGGGAATTCTGGGAAATGTAGTTCAGCTTAGACAAGTTGAACAAAGACACAGCAGGATTGTACAAATGTAAAATTTTATATTTTTCTTATAAGTTGAAAGTATATATAAAATGACCCTCTTAATTTCTATAAGTGCTGTTTGCCTTGAGATCTATTTAATATAGCTTGTCTGGTTTTCTCTTGGTTAGTGCTTACAAGATATTTTTCCATCTACTCACTTTCAGTTTCATTATCTTTGTGTTTTAGATCTGTCTCCGGTAAACAGCTTATAGTGGAATTCATTTTTTAAACAGCCTGGCAAGTGTTGTCTTTCTACAGGTGCATTAGAATATCTACATTATTTGTAATTACTAAGATATTAGTATTTATTGTGATCATCTTATTTTTATTGCTTTCTATTTTCCACCTTTCAGTATTTCTTTTTTTTCTATCTTATTATATTCCCTTGAGCTGATTTGTTTTTTATCTCTTGTTTTTGATTTCTCTACTAATTTGGAGTTATATGTGCTGTTTCTCTGCTTTTAATGTTTTCTCTAGTTAATGTAACATGCATATTTAAACTTATAAGCCTATAGTTAATTAATATCTTTATCTTCTTTCTAAATAATGGAATTACCTTTAAGCACTTTAACTCCATTTGCCACCTTTCCTGTATCTATGATATTCTCAACTTTGCAAGACATTATTATTATTATTATTATTGTTATTATTATTTAGATTGGCCCAGAGATAACATCTGTTGTCAATCTTCCTCTTTTTTCTTTTTTTTCTTTCTTCTCCCCAAAGCACCCCAGTACATAGTTGTATATTCTAGTTATAGGTCCCTCTGGTTGTGCTATGTGGGACGCCACCTCAGCATGGCTTGATGAGTGGTGCCATGTCCACGCCCAGGATCCGAACTGGCAAAACCCTGGGCTGCTAAAATGGAGTGTGTGAATTTAACCACTCGGCCACAGGGCCTGCCCCCAGACATTATTATTGTTGTTTATAAAATCAAAATGTGTTTAGATTACTTATATAATTATCATTTTACTGGCCTTTTATTTTTTTCTGGCATTTCAGGCTTTCCATCTGGAATCACTTTCCTTCTGCCTAAAGTACATATTTTAGAATTTCCTTCAGTAAGGATTTGCTCTCGGTAAATATATTCAGTTTTTGTTTTTCTGATATGATCTTCATTTTACCTATATTTAGAAAATATTTTACACTACGTATAAAATGTTATGTTGACATTTATTGTCACCTACCACATCAAAGATATACTTCTGTTATCAAAAATATGCAGCTATGCTTTTTCTGTTAGCTGTTGAGAAGACAGCTGACCGTCTGTTGCTCTTTTGAAGTTAGGTTGTCTTTTCATTCTCTTTGCTTTTATTATTTTTAAAAACTTTTAAAATGTGAAATATGTAGAAAAATGAATAATACGTATATGTGCATTTTAACACGTGGTGGTTAAGGAAATATTGGCCTTATATACAACACTCAGATCAAGAATGGAACATTACTTGCAGACCAGTGCTAGTAATGTTTTCCTTCCTTTTCTTTGTTTTTGTTTTTAATCTTGTAATATGTTGAATTTCACTGATTTTTAATGTTAACTTCATTCCTAAGATAAGTTCATTTTGGTCATGATATATTTTCATTTTTATATATTTCTGGATTTTGCCATTCTATTTTCTAGGATATTTGCATCTATATTTATTGCCTATAATTTTCTTCTGTGATCTTTTCTCTGTTCAGTTTTGGTATCAAAGTCGTGTTAATCTCACAGTTGAAGTAAGGTATGTTTCCTCTATTTCGCTTCCTTAGAAGAGTTTGTGTAAGATTGGGATAATTTTTTCCCTGAATATTTGATGGAACTTAACAGTGAAGTCATTTGGCCTGATGTGTTCAAGAATACACTTTTAATCATTGACTCACTTACAAGTGAGTTGATAATTATAAGTTTATAAGATTGTATGTCTATTTGGGTTTTTAAATTTTTCTTGAGTGAACTTTTGTTAGGTACATTTTTCAGAATTTGTTTATTTTATCTAAGTTTTCAGATTAACTGGCATAATTTGTTAATAATGTTTTCTCTGGTAGTCATTAGAGCTGTTTGCCAAACATCTCTGGTTCTTTAATCTTCTTGACACATGGGAGAATTGTACTTTCTGGCCCTTTTGTGCTTGGATGTGGCCACGTGATTAGTTTGGGTCAATGAATTGTGTACTAAGTGATACATGTGACTAGTTTGGGTCAACGAATTGGGAGCTAAGTGTAAGAAGTATGTCACTTCTGACTGGAGCATTTAATTAAAGCAAGATCCTCCAGAGCTCCTCCTTTCCCCTGTAAAATAAATAGTAACATTTTATATAGTATCTTCTCCATTAGCCAAGGTGTCTGAGTGACTTCCAGGAGAAGAGTCCCTCTGCCAACAATAGGCATGTAACACAAGCAAGAAATAAATCTTTGTTGTTTTCTGTTACTATAGCGTCATCTAGCTTTTCTGATAGATGATGCTCTTATCTGTTTAATGTCATTGTAGCATCTGCAATGATATTCCCCTTTTCATTCCTGATATTTGCCATTCAATCTGTTTCTGCCTCTCTCTCTCTCCCTCCCATATCCCCTAGTCTCATCACCACAGATTTGTCAATTTTATTAGTATTTTCCAGGAACAAACTTTGGGCTTTGCTCATGTTTGTTTTCTATTGTTTAACTTCTGCATTTTAATTTTCTTCCTTCTGCTTTTTAAACATTGTTTAGGTTTCCTTTTTTGCAATTCTTTTTCTAACTTCTTCAGTTAGCTCATTTATTTTCATTCTTTTTTCCCCTAATATAGGCATTTAAGGCTGTAAATTCTCCTCAAGATTCAACTGCTTCCCATAGATCTTGATATATACTATTTGTGTTATCATTCAGTTCAAAATGTTTGCTAATTTCTATTATGATTTTTTCTCTGATCCCTGGGTTTCTAGGAAGTGTATTTCTTAACTTCCAAATAAATGGATATTTTTTATCTTTTTTTAGTAGATTTCCATTCTAAATGAATTATAAACAAATAGACGTATGCTATATATTTTAAGTCCTTTGAAATTTTAAATATTTCTCCTGTAAACAATTCGTAAACAATATATAGTTTGACTTACATTTTTTTTCTTCTTCTCCCCAAAGCTCCCTAGTACATAGTTGTATATTCTAGTTGTAGATCCTTCTAGTTCTGATATGTAGGATACCGCCTCAGCATGGCTTGATGAGCAGTGGTAGGTCCATGCCCAGGAGCCAGACTGACAAAACCCTGGGCCGCTGAAGCAGAGTGCACGAACTTAACCTCTTAGCCACGGGGCCAGACCCTGACTTATTTTTTTTTAACCCATTGTGATAATTTTTGTCTTTTGACTAGTTAATACAGTCTATTTATATTACCGATATAGTTACCGATAAGTTAAGATTTAGTACTAAGTTACCGATTTAGTTACCAATAAGTTAAGTTTTCTTTCTACTCTCTTATTTTGTTCTTTACGTTTATCATATATGTTCACTCTTTTTCTTTCTTGACTTTTCTTTAACTGACTAAATATTTTATCATTATTTTATTCTATTGGAAGTTTTAAATTGCTCTTTCTCTTATTGTGGTGCCTACCCTAGAAATTATAACGTGTACACTTTATCAAAGTCTGAGTTTAAAGAATATTTACCCACTGCTTAGATATACAATGAACACTTTAAGTCCATTTATCCTCTTCTTGACTTGTTCAGCATTTTAAATCTTATCTTTTTTACCCCAACAATACATTACTATAGCTGTTTTGTAGAAGCAATGGTCATTTGCATTTGTCCACACATTTACCACATATTTTTCCCCGTGATTCTTCTTGTAGTTCAGATCTTCCATCCAGCATCACTTTCTTTATCCCTGAAATTTATCCTTTATAATTTTCTTTACTTAATGTCTTCTGATGACAAATTCTCTTGGCTGTTATCTAAGAACATTCTTATTTCAACTTCAGCACTTTGAAGTGCCCTGGAGAGAGTTAGTACTGATAAGTCAGTGGTCAATGTAACTGTCGTTTCTTCAAAGATAATCTTTGTTTTCCCTATGGCTGTTTTAAAGATCTTTCTCTGTCTTTGGTTGTCTTCAGTTTTCCTATGATGCTTAAGAGTGTGGGTTTAGGGGCCAGCCCGGTGGTGCAGCGGTGAAGTGTGCATGTTCCGCTTCAGCAGCCCAGGGTTCACCAGCTCGGATCCCGGGTGCGGACAGGACACCGCTTGGCACGCCATGCTGTGGTAGGCGTCCCACATATAAAGTAGAGGAAGATGGGCACGGATGTTAGCTCAGGGCCAGACTTCCTCAGCAAAAAGAGGAGGATTGGCAGCAGTTAGCTCAGGGCTAATCTTCCTCGAAAAAATAGAGCGTGGGTTTATTTTTATTTATCCTTCTTGAGATTAAGTGGACCTTTTCAATCAATGCATTGAGGTCTTTCATCAATTCTGTCATGTTCTCTTCAAATATTGCCTTTGGCCCATTTATTCCCATTTATTCTCTCTATTCCTTCTAGGACCCTAATTAAATGGATTCAAAATGTATTTTCTATGTCTCTAACCCTCTCTACATTTTCTGTATTTTTGTATCTGTGCTGCATTCTCAATACTTATTTCTGTTCTGTCTCCCAGGTCACAAATTCTGTCTTTTGTTTGTGTTTAATCTGTTGCTAAACACATCTATTGAGATTTTTTAATTTCAGGGGTTTTTTTTTCCCCATTTCTAGATGTTACTTGGTTCTTTTAAAGTCTGTGATTTTTTTATGGTTTCCTAGTCCCTGTAGAAATTTTAAAATTTGTGATTTACTTTTATAACATGGTATAGTTGACTTAAAACATGTCTTAAAAGTCCAATATTTGAAGTCTGTGCAGGTCTGTCTCTGCTGACTGTTGTTCTCATTGGTTCTTGCTCATGCTATATTGTTGTTTTCTTTTATGACTCATAAGCTTTGATTTCTTGCTGACTATTGTCCTTAAAAAATTATTCTTGGGCATTTCCTAGGCATAAGATGGATTTTCTCTCCTCAGAGAGGTTTTCGGTTTGCTTCTCTCAGGTCTCTGGCGTATGTTTAGTTGGGATGACTTCAGACCGAATTTAATTTGAGAGTCCAACGAGGCCTTACTTACCTGGTGTGCAAAGATATGGGAGACTTGGTCTGTCATCATAACCACACAAGGAGGTTTCCTTTTGCTTTTCCTGTTTTTTTCCATTCCTACCTAGTTCAAAGCCACAGTAGCCCATTCTGCAGTTCTCAGAGTTTGAAAGAAGTATAGTGGGTCAAACTCTGGTTTGTTCTGACTCCGAGGGTGGGGCTCACTATGAAGATGTCCCATCTGATCCCCTCCCCTCCCATAATGGTGGATCCTGTCAAAAAATCAAAACACAAGTTTTTGTGATAGTAGTTCATGCTTTCTGGATATAGGCAATTTTAGTGCTCTAACATTCCACTTCTATTTGCCCATTACTAGAACCCTAACTTCTATGGCTGTTTTTAAATTGTTTTCTTTGTTTTTACCCAGGATGACCATGATATGTCTAAGTGTAATTTTCTTTCTTTTTTTTTTTTTATTAATGTTATGATAGATTACAACCTTGTGAGATTTCAATTGTACATTTTTGTTAGTCATGTTGTGGGTACACCACTTCCCCCTCTGTGCCCTCCCCCCACCCCCCCTTTTCCCTGGTAACCACCGATCAGATCTCCATATCAATATACTAAATTCCACCTATGAGTGGAGTCATATAGAGTTCGTCTTTCTCTGACTGGCTTATTTCACTTAACATAATACCCTCGAGGTCCATCCACGTTGTTGTGAATGGGCCAATTTTGTCTTTTTTTATGGCTGAGTAGTATTCCATTGTGTATATATACCACATCTTCTTCATCCAATCATCAGTTTCTGGGCATGTAGGCTGGTTCCACGTCTTGGCTATTGTAAATAATGCTGCGATGAACATAGGGGTGCAACGGACTCTTGAGATTTCTGATATCAGGTTCTTAGGATAGATACCCAGTAATGGGAAAAGTGTAATTTTCTTTTCTCCCGTATGAAAGTAATTTATTGGGCTTCTTATTTGTGGATTGAACCGTTCATCAATTTTGGCATATTTTCAGCTGTTATAACTTCAAATGTTGTTTCTACTATGCTTTGTATCTCCTCTTTCTGAAACTCCAGTTACACTTATGTTAGACTTTCAAACTCTGTCCTCATCATTTCTTAACCTCACTTTCATATCTTCCACTCTTTCCATGTGCTGTGCTACTGTATTAGTTTCCCAGAGCTGCTGTAACAAATTACACCAGCAAATTTGGTGGCTTCAAACAGCAGAAATTCATTCTTTTACAGTTCTGAAGGTTAGAAGTCCAAAACTAAAGTGTCCAGAGTTGGTTCCTTCTGGATGCTCTGAGAAAGAATCTGTTCCATGTCACTCTCCTACCTTCTGGTGGTTGTCAGCAATTCTTGATATTCTTTGGCTTGTAGACACATCACTCCAATCTCTGCCTCTGTATTCGTATGGCTTTCCCCTATGGGTCTTCTCCTCTGTATCTGTGTTTCAAATCTCCCTCTCCTTTGTCTTATAAGGACACTAGACATTGGATTTAGGGCCCATCCTAAATCTAGAACTTAATCACATCCACAAAGACTCTATTTCTTTTTTTGTGTGTGAGAAGATTGGCCCTGAGCTAACATCTGTTGCCAATCTTCCTTTTTTGCTTGAGGGAGATGGTTCCTGAGCTTACATCTGTGCCAGTCTTCCTCTACTTTGTATGTGGAATGCTGCCACAGCATGGCTTGATGAGCAGTGTGTAGGTCCATGCCCAGGATCCAAATCTTCAAATCCCAGGCCATCAAAGTGGAGTGTGTGAACTTAACCATTACTCCACTGGGCTGGCCCCATTTCTGAATAAGTTCATATTCGCTGGTACGAAGGGTTAGGATTTGGACATACCTCTGTAGGGGACACAGTTCAACCCACTATAGCTACATTCTGATTAATTTTCTCATATAACTCTTCCTGTTTATTAGTCTCACTTTATTGGTATCAAATCTGCTGTTAAACCTATTTATTTAAGTTTTTAAATTTCAATTATTATATTTTCCTCTTTCAAAATACTTAGTCTTTCTTTAGGTTTTTTCTCTGCACATATTTTAAAGTTGTTCTTTATTTTCTTAAATATAGAAAAACATGGCTATTTATATTTTGTGTCAAATAACTCCAATATCTGAGGTTTTGTGGGTCAATTCCTATTGTTTGTTGTTTCTCTTGGTTCATAGTACCTTATTTTCTCATGTGTTTAGTGAATTTTGACTGGAAGTAGTTTAATTTCATTGAAAATTTGCTTTTTGAGATTCATGGAGAGCTGATTTTAATATGGGTTCTTTCAGAAAGCGTGTGCATTTTGCTTGTGCCAGAGCCTGGGATAACTTTCTGTGTGAGATTACTTTAAACTAAATTTTTATTTTGAGAGTTTGGGGATAACTCAGACACTATAAATTTGCATTTTGAGTCCACATGATAGCCAGATTATGGATTCAACTTTATATGGATGTTGCCTTCCTCTGCTAAGTTGCCAAGTTTCAGACAGATTTTCATGTAATCTTTGGTGAAAGTGAGTAGTATTACTAGTTCACTGCTATACTAAGATACAGCACTTCAGCATCTCTGCCTTCAAAGAGGAAAGATTTCTGCTTAGACTCCTCACCTTAGGCAGACCCTGAAATTTGCCTCCTGTACCCCATGTCCATAAGGCCATGAAAACTGAAATCCAAGTTCATCTAGTTTGGCAAATGTGCTCCAATTCCTCCTACCTCTCTGGTTCCCACAATCACTAGGTCTCTGGCTTGCATATTCCTTACTTTCTTTCCAACAGAACAGTGCTCTTAATAAAATATTTTAAAGCTTTTATCTAGCACATTTGTTGTTTATAGTGGGAAGTTTAATCTAGTAATAGTGTCTGCTATCTTATCAGAAACAGAAATCTTGCTTTACAAAACATGGTTATCATATAGACAATTTAATTTAGCATATAGATAATTCAATTTAGCTTCTCCTGACCCAACAAACATGGTGTGGGTGGCCACTTCAATGACAGCCCCCAATAATCTCCACCCCATATTATCCACACCTTGTGTAATCTCCTCCCCTTGAGTGTGGGCTGAACTTTTTGACTCACTTCTAAGGAATAGAATATGGAAGAACTAATGAGATATCACTTCTGAGTTAGGTTATAAAAGGACTGTGGCTTGTTTGGTGTACTTTATTTTATGCTGTTAGATTTCTTGCTATGGGACAAACCAGCTGCCATGGCATAAGGCAGCCCTGTGGAAAGGCACACATAGCAAAGAACTGAGGCCTACCAAAAGCCATGTGAGAGAGCTTGAAAGTGGGTCCTCTTCCAGTCGAGCCTTGAGATGACTGCAGCTCTGGCTGACATCTTGATTGTAGTCGTGTGAGAGACTATTAACCAGAACCCAGCTAAGCTGCTTCCGGATTCATGACCTACAAAAACTGTGAGATAATAAATGTATGTTCTTCTCAGACACTAAGTTTTGGAGTAAACTGTTATGCAGAAATAGCAAACTAACATACTTGGCTTGCTGGCAGGGCAATCAGACTGAGTCATGGAAAGTGTGTTTGAGATGTAGAAATGAGAATATAGTGATTGAGATCATAGCTATTTTATTTATTGAATATTTAAAATAGTACATTAATAAAACTTTGTGTGATAGAGAAATAACACTAGAACTCTTTTGAATGTGATTGTCAACTAAACCACCATAGATACTGGTTCTGCTGAGTTCCTCCATAGTTATGTAAATCAAAGGCTGAGAGATTGGCTGGAGTCAGGATACAAATCTCTGGATCATTTCTTCTGAAAAGACTTAGAATGAATCAATAAAGTCCTTTAATAAGGAAATTGAAATGAAACCTTGCCCTTTGAAGAAAAAGTGCTCTGTCATACTGTGACCAAGGCCTCTAGTCAAAAGGAAACAGAGGGTTGTGACAATGATCTGGTGAGTCTGGCCCCAGAGCTCCCTTCAACTGGTTTCTTGGTTGACTTTGGAGAGTGGACTGTGCATGATTTAGAGGCTAGAGATTTGTTTGACAATGGGAAAATGCAGAAATTCAAGTCCCAGACCCATCCTTTGACCTGGAGCCATTAGTGCCACAGGTTCTCTTAGGCTCTCACATTTGAAAAATGTTCAGGTGTCAGTGTCGACACCTTGAGAGACATGGCAGCTGACATGAGTGAGTGAATGACTGGCTTGCTGCCTGAGGTGGGAAATGACTGCCAGCACCCTCTTCTCTGGTTTTATGAAACAGGAGCCAATACAAGGAAGAGATAGGAGGGGAACAAAACTGCCAGTCCAAAAGGTAGTCATTTAGGGTTTCACACGGTAAGTGGTTTGAGATTTCCAGAGATGAAACAAGTCTCTCCAGGACAAGGCAGCGGCAGGTCACAGCCCTAGGACCTGGCTGGTTTTATCAATCTGGCAGTTCAGCGTCAGCGCAAAGGACATCCCCAACACCTGAGAAAAAAGTTGGGAAAATGTGAGGTCTAATGTAAGAGGACCCATCTCTCCCACAAGCCCTGGGATGAGCCTCAAAGAAAAAGAAAGTGTCCATCACAGTGAAACCACCCTTCCTGCCCTCACTTCCAGTTCCTCCTCAGGAGTTCTCTCCTTTAGCTTTAGAATGGCATCAGGGAGATAAGTTGGGTGGCATTGGCAAGACAGTAGATTATAAAGTGTTGGGACATTTTTTTGTCTGCTGAAGAAGTCACAGAAGCTCTGCTGCAGGTATAGTCAAGTTCTGCACAAGTCAACATTTCATGCAATGAGTCATCTCTACCCATGCCCTAAGCCTCCTTAGTTTCTATGTAAAGAAAAATCATTTATCTCTGAGCTTCTTGATTAAGTCTTACTAATGTGCAATATACCCAAAACATTTGGGTATAAAAGTGGTAGAAATATAGCATAATAAAAAAACACAAAACTATCCCCAATTCACCCTTGACTTTTCAAACTAAGCAGAGAAACAAGGAAGAAATTGATTAATAATTGACATCATCAACTTCTGCTTAGCATAAAAGGCCAATTTTTCAAGTGGAATGTTTTATCCATCACAAGCTTTTCCAGACCAGTGAATGAAGGACCAAAGTAGGGATCTATTTGGTGGCTTTTAATTTGACTATGAATTACTCATATCTCTTAGGGATAAGTTGACCAGATAGATCTTACAGCATATTTTTTATATGCCTTAAATTGGTAATAACATCATTTGACTGGGGGAGCTCATATTCACTGAACACATACTATGTCCTTGGTACTGTTCTAAAACCTTACATTACTTAACTTGTTTATTTTCACAATAGCCTGTGGTTAAATTCTTACCTCTACCACACACACGCAGATAGTGATGATTCCAATATACAGGAAATTGGAGTGAAACCACTGTTCTGCTTTTGCATAGCAACCCTAGAAAAAATTACAAGTACAAATGAGACTACTATTATTCAACTTTATCAGAAGGCTTATTTGGGAAGATAGTTTGTGTTTTGCCTTATGCCAAAATACTTAGGCCAGGTATTATATTTTTATTTTCTTTATATGGATGAAGAAACAAACCTAAAGTAGAGAATATTAAACTAGAGACTTTTCTGGTGTTATCATTACAGTGGCACCTAATGTAGAAGTCCTAGATCCTTACACACTGAGTTAAACTAGCTCCCAAGAGGCATGTCAGCAACAGATGTCCTTATGTTTTTCGAACATTCACCACTGACTTGGGATTAACAAATGGGAATATAGGCTGTGCAATCCCAGCATTGATTGCATTTCAATTTTGCTTTAACAAGGAAAACTTTCATGGCCCTACTAATCTCCAGGACAGTTGCTGGTTGGTGGATGTCCCAGTATTTCTTCACAGACCTAAAAAATTTTGGAGATTTCCAAACAATCCCAAGAGTGGAAAACATGGGTAACAGGATCTTAGGGACTTGGTCTAGAAGATAATTTTGGCTTCTTCTCTGGGCCCAGTCTGGAGGTCCAAATTAAGCAGGCAGATTGTTTCAGAAGTTCCACCAACTTTTTCCCCCAACTCCTTGCTCTTTCATTTATGATTCATTTCATTAAGGGGCTGGATGCTGCCATCTCCAAGGTAAGAGAGCAGAAAGACAGGTAGAGAGAGAAGCTTTCCTACCTCAACATTACAAATTTCACTTTCAACCATAAGGAGACCTATGTCTTGCTGAAGAAAAATCTAGACATAATCCTCTGCCACTATCACACAAACTTTTCCTCTATAATGAAATAGTTTAGGGTAGCAAGATTCTTAATGGTGTCTCTAGTCTAAAATGAGCTTATTCCTTATTTTCTGATTTGTCTAGGTACCTGGGTTGTCTCCCTGGTCTCTATTTTGTTCAAGATTCTCTGTTTCTGGTTGGGAGGACTAAGTCCTATATGACTGGAGTTCCTAAGGCAACTAAAAGTTTAACCAATGAGGCCAATAACAGAAAAGTTGCCCAAAAAATTACCTGAACTTCTGGATATGGAGGGCAAGATGAGGGGTGGGCTTTGCCCCAATCACTCGCATTATTTACACCACAACATTGCAGCTAAAAAACAAACAAAAAAATGTGATGGTTAGAAAGTCAACAGAAAGAAAACTGTGGGCCTTGGAGAATAGGTGGGCCCTTCAGATCTGACTCTATAGCAGAAAATCCAGAATTGGCCTGACTACTGTGGCTTTTTAGGAAAAAAGTACTTTAAAACCCATTATACCATTTCATTCACATAAGACTCCTTGAAGTAGAGAAGGCATGCTTAATTTATTCGCATTTTACAGATCAAAAATTAGGCACACATGGGACTTTATAATGGAGGGATCAGGCTGACTATACCTAGACCCATCAACCAGTCTTAAGATCATAGGAAGTAGGGCAATCAGACATTATGTGCCTGCTTACATGATGCAATAGGAAATATGAGCTATGTTAGTCTCACCACAGATGGAACATGCATCAAGTCTCCATATTCACAAATATGGGAGATAAAGACTCCCTGACACTAAATACCTTGAGGAAACAACTAGCCTGATCCAGAAAATGGGGGATTCTACAGGACAAACAACATAATTTCTTTCCACAAATAAATAGCATGAACAAAGAGGGATACTGTTATAGATTAAAAAAGATTTAGAGAGACACATCATCCAAATGTAACATGTAGACCTTGTTTGGATCTTGATTTGAAGAAACCAATTAAAACTAACTTCTTGAAGTAGTTAGGGAAATTTGAATATAGATCATTTATTAGTGTCATTAAGGAATCACTGTAAAATTTTATGTGTATTAAAAAGAAGTTATTTTACATGAATATTAAAAAACACACTTCTAAATAACACATGACCAAAGAAGAAATCTCAAGAGAAATTAAAAATCCTTTGAAGTAAATGAAAATGAAAACACAACTTGTAAAAATTTGGGGGATGCAGCAAAAGCAGCACTGAGAGAGAAATTTATAGCACTGAATTTATAGAATTGAAGTTCTTGCTAATGCAATAAGGCAAGAAAAAGAAATAAAAGGTATACAGATTGGGAAGGAAGACATAAAACTGTTTTTGTTCATAGAAGACATGATCATCTATGAAGAAAATTCTAAAGAATTGACCAAAAAAACCTCCTGGAACTAATAAGTGATTATAGCAAAGTTGCAGGATACAAGGTTAATATACAAAAGTCAGTTGGTTTCCTATATTCCAATAATGAATAAGTGGAATTTGAAATTAAAAACACAATGCCATTTACATTAGTATCTCCAAAAATGAAATACTTAGGTATAAGTCTAACAAAATATGTATAAGATCTATATGAGGAAAACTACAAAACTTTGATAAGCAAAAATCAAAAAAGAACTAAGTAAATGGAGAGGTAGTCCATGTTCATGGATAGGAAGATTCAATATTGTCAAGATGTCAGTTCTTCCCAACTTGATCTATTGAATACAGATTCAATGCATCCCAATCAAAATCCCAGCAAGTTATTTTATGGATATCAACCAAATGATTCTAAAGTTTATATGGAGAGGCAAAAGACCCAGAATAACCAACACAATATTGAAGGAGAAGAACAAAGTTGGATGACTGATGCTACCCAACTTCAAGACTTACTATAAAGCTACAGTAATCAGGACAGTATGGTATTGGTGAAAGAATAGATAAATAGATCAATGGAACAGAATAGAGAGCTCAGAAATAAAACCACATAGACATAGTCAACTGATCCTTGACAAAAGTGCAAAGGCAATACAATGGAGAAAATATAGTCTTTTCCACAAATGCTGCTGGAACAACTGGACATCCACATGCAAAATACTGAATCTAGACAGAGACCTTGCATCCGTCCCAAAAAGTAACTCAAAATGGATCATAGACCTAAATGTAAAACACAAAACTGTAAAAGTCGTAGAAGATAATATAGGAGAAAACCTTGGTTACAGTGATAACTTTTTAGAAACAACACCAAAGGCATGATCCATGAAATAAATAATTGATATACTGGATTTCATTTAAATTAAAAACTTCTGCTCTGCAAAAGACAGTATCAAGAGAATTAGAAGACAAGCCACAGACTGGAAGAAAAAATTTGCAAAAGACACATCTGATAAAGGATTGTTACCCAAAATATACAAAGACCTCGTAAAACTCAACAATAAGAAAACAAACAACCTGATCAAAAATTGAGCCACACCTTAACAGACACCTCACCAAAGAGGATTTAGAGATGGCAAATAAGCATATGAAAAGGTACTCCACATCATATGTCATTAGGGAATCACAAATTAAAACAACAATGAGATAGATGCCATTATATATCTATTAGAATGGGCAAAATCTGGAATACTGACACTAAATGCTGGTGAGGATGTGGAGCAATAGGAACTCTTATACATTGCTGGTGGGAATGAGAAATGGTACAGCCACTTTGGAAGACAGTTTGGCATTTTCTTAAAAAACTAAACATACTCTCACCATATGACCCAGCAGTTATGCTGCTTGGTATATTTCCAAAGCAGTTGAAAGCTTATGCCCCTCACAAAAAACTGTACATGGATGTTTACAGAGCTTTCTTCATAATTGCCAACACTTGGAAGCAACCAAGCTGTCCTTCAGCAGGTGAATGGATAAATGAACTGTGGTACATCCAGACAATGGAATATTAATTGACACTAAAAAGAAATGAGCTCTTCAAGCCATAAAAAGACATAGAAGAACCTTAAATGCATATTATTAAGTGAAAGAAGGCAATTTGAAAAGGCTACATACTGTGTGATTCCAACTATATGACATTCTGGAAAAGGCAAAACTATGGAGACAATAAAAGGATCAGTGGTTGTCAGGGATGCGAGTAGCAGGAGAGATGAATGGGCAGAGCACAGAGGATTTTTAGGGTAGTGAAAATACTCTGTACGATATTATAATGAAAGATTTATGTCATTATACATTTGTATTTGTTCAGTTGCATAGAATGTACAACACCAAGAGTGAACCCTAATGTAAACTATGGACTTTGGATGATACTTATGTGTCAATGTAGCTTCATCCTTGGTAAAAGAAAAAAAATGTACCGAAAAAAATGTACCTGGTGAGTGACACTGATAATGGGGGAACCTATGCATGAGTGGAGGCAAAGGGTATATGGGAATTCTCTGTACCTCTCTCTTTGTTCTATTGTAAACCTAAAATTGCTGTAAAAAAATAAAGTATTTTTTCTAAAAAAAATAAATTATTATCTTTATATTTAATAGGTAAAATGATAAAATGTCTAATATTTGCTTTAATATATTCTAGAAAAAAAAAGCATAGGGATTAGCTGAAATGACACTGGCAAAATGCTAACTGTTGAAGGTGGGTGATATGTACCTGGAGATTCATTTTGCTGCTTTTCTCTTTAATTTTGTATATATCTGAAAAGTCTATGATAAAAAGGCTTCTAAAGTGAATTGAAAAGAAAGAAAAAGAAAGAATTGTAGATCTAAAGAGGCTAAGCAACTTTCGCAAGGCCCTCCAATCCTTGTCTCTAGGCTCTAGTTCCTGTGCTATTTTTCTACTCCATACTAAGCAGATATGGCAGGGCCACAGGTGGCTCCATGTGGTCACAGTGGTATTATCTGAGACACAGACTATGCCGGTGCCAGACTGGCTCCCTGACTCTTCTTTATCCCCCAACACACAAAGGCAGGAATGAAGAGATAATATATATGTTTGTGGGTGGGGAAAGGGCATGAGGAATGGGGGACTGGTGGGCTAGCTAACAAGCATGATTTGGGCTTCTCAGGAGTTCAAGAGATTTGCTGTATTGTACAATTTCCATTTTAAGAAAAATTTTGGAAAATACTAAACTAATCCAGTATGACTTGTTTGGGTCTTCCTTACATCTTAGTAGGGTTTAAACAATGAGCCTATCTGAGTTGGTGAAGGAAGAAAGAGAGAATGTAGATAACATTGTACCAATCAGACTGATTCCTATGCTTCCCTGTTTGTGAGAGCCAAGCATTATTCTGGACCTAGGGGCTGTGGACCTTAGATTCTGAAACTTTAAGGAAAAGAAATCCCCTCTAGCCCCTAGAGACTGAAGTTGGAAAATTAAGCCTGGGCTGAGCTGAGGAGGATTCCATCTATACTCACAAATGACTGGATGGAGTCCCACGCTGCCTTGGTGCTGTTGTCTGAGTTGTATCGCCGGATGCTGTCATTCAGGCCTTCAGCCACATAATTACTCAGCTGGGTGGGGCACATTCCAGCAGAGGAGACATTAAAAAAAGGAGGTGAGTTCAAGGAACAAGGAATTTCTGGGAAAGGCTAGTGGTTCCATTTGCTACTCCCTCCAAATGGTCTCCTCAGGGCTGAGGAAGTGAAGAGAGGGAGTTTATATACAGGAAGAAGTGCTGAGGCTGAGATGGCATTGAAGGAATAAGTACACAATGGTCTGTTGTCCTTCCAGAATTTTGGTTTTACAAAGGAGGAAAAGGGACCATCAAAGCATGAGCTCTCTTAGGCACTGAGGCAGATGTTCTCTACTGCCTAACACATGGAAAAAAGTAAGCAGGAGGAAGATAAAGTTGTTTTACTGTTCTTCCCATTCATTCCTTCAAAGCACCACTCAAATGCAATCTCCTTCATGACTGCTTTTTTCTCCCCAATTACAGTTAATCTCTCTTTCCTCCATCCCTCCACTTTGCTTCTATGTCTATTATAGGACTTATTTTATGCTACTTCTTTTCCACTGTCAGCAATACAACAATGAGTTGTATTCTTTATAACTTACCTTTTGTTCATACACGAAGAGCAGGATGGCCAAGGTCACCTCAGCAAGGAGGATAATCAGCAGCAGGACAAAGAACTGGGGCAAAGCAAAGACATGCTCACAGTACTGATCCCAGTTCTTCCCCAACTCCCACTCCATCCTGGGAGCATCCAGGCATGTCTCTGCACCTAAGCAAAGGTTCCTGATCCGGCCTGTTCAGGCCTTCATGAGCCTTCTCTTGTTTTGTGAGGAATATTTGCTATTTTCTTTCAACTAGACTCCAAGACTCTAGAGGGTAGATCAGCTGTCATCTAACTTTGTTCCCTCTTTCCCACTGTGCCTATCGAGCTCCATGGGCGTAATGCATAAGCAATACCATTTGTTGAATCAATGAAGCAATTTTGGCATTGGCTTTGTTGAAACAGCTGAGCAAAAGACCAGTAAACTAGACTACGTGTCTTTAGAGTCTGGGGCCTAGTCCTTTCTGCAAGATCAGGGCTAGTTTGGACTGGAGAACAGGTGATGGCGGAGATTGAGAGGAGTCCTCTACACGTAGGGAGAAAAGGTGCTGTAATTATGGTCCTAACTCATATTTATCTCCAACTTTAGATGCTTACTCTCTTTATGTTAATCATATACAGCAGAAAACACGTTTTTACTTGTTCCCTCTCCTTCACCTTTTTACCCAACACTAATTTTGACTGATTAAAACCTTTCCCCCATGTCTATTATCTTCCACCTTTTGCCATTAGTCTGGGAACTAACCTGTGATTTCCCTGTGCCTGTAGGTGAGCTGCCAAGAAATATCTTCCATGAGAATTAAGGCAGCATGTCCCCCAACTTAGGGCACCACATCAGCTGCTAGGAACTCACCGACATAAGCAGGCACTTGTTCTCCTTGATGGAGCCCATGCAGCCGAGGAATGCAACCACCATGATAATGGAGCCCACGATGACGAGCGCATTGCCCAGTGTGAGGGAGGGGAGATTATGGAAAAGCACCCCGAAGTTGTTGTGGATCAGGAGGTAGATACCAAAGCCCAGAATGCAGCAGCCACAGAACTGAAAGGAAGAATCCCACAAATTTCTGAGATAAAACATGGTTCTTCAATATCTTTTCATATTTTCACTTGCTTGAGGTCAGAATCATCTTTTTCCACTGGCTTTATCAAGGTTCTCATGAACAATCTTTATCCAGCTTTCCCTATGAACCTAGAAAAGAGGTGATCCCAGCTTCACCCTGTGATATCCTGTTCATGCACCTCCTTCACATATCAGATACCAGGGGAATCTCACTCCTGGGAGTAACACAGTATCTTCATGCTTCAGATACCCTACTCCTTGTTCCCTGAACTGGTTACACATGGTCTTCCCTGTGGAAACTACAACCACGTGGATGGGGTGCCATGGTTGAGGAAATTCATCTTGGTAGGCAAAAAACTAGAGAAGCCAAACTTTTAAGAATTTTCTCATAGGCACATGAATACCATCCCATCCTATATCTGAAATTCAATTGCTGAATTTGGTACAGTGAAATCTCCCCAGAAGGGGTGACTTCCTTTTCAATCAGCTATTGTTCCAAGTGGCCCAGAGGGGAAAAAGGAAAAGCTGGAAAAAAAGAGGCACTCAATACACAGCATGTAGAGTCTCAGGTTTTCACCCTTGGGTGTAAGCAGTGAGCAGTAGTAGGCTAAAGTCCCCAGAGAGAGAAACAGCATCCCCATAAGTAACTGCACTGGTACCTTTCAATTTTACAGGCTTCTACTGTGGCAGGATGGCAAGAGGGGAGGAAGTTATTTCCCTGTTCTTAGGTTGAGTATGCTGCACATGACCCAGGTATGCATGGGTTGCACTCCATACCAGGCTCTTCAGTAGAGGAGAGAGAAGTAGAGTGTAGCTGGGGAGGAGGTGGGTGCAGCCATGCTCAGAAGAGACACACTTACCCAAAAGAGCAAGTTGAAGAAAAACAGGACATACTTCAGCAGTTTCAAGCTACTCATGCCCATGTTGGGACAGTTTTACCCTAAAAAGTAAAAGGAAGAAGAGAGGAAGTAAGTGACCTGGCTCTGCAAGGTGGCACAAGAGATCAAAGGCACCAATGTTCAGGGTTCAAGGATCTCCAGCATCACCTTGGATTTGAGCTGTGACTCTCCTCTGGAAAGTTTGCCCAAACTCCCTATTATCTTAGTCTCCAAACTGAGGTAACTATTGGATCATTTTGGACACTTGCTTTTGCTTTAATTCAGCAAGCCCAAAATGCTTGACATTGAATTAAGCACTGTAGAAGAAAGGATTAGAGACACTTTCAGAGGAGGGTGAATCACAGTGACACATACCAGGCCAATGTTCAGGGACCAGTTCCTGGGCACTTACTCAAGGAGGCAGCCCTGGGGTCAGAGATAGGCTGGTCAATCAACTATGGAGAAGGCCAGTGACTTGATTAACCAGTTCCTTAAATTCCCTGAGATGTATATACATACTACATTTGGTCTATAGCCCTCTCCACATGAAAGTGGGAGGGACATATCTATGCCTCGTTCATTCTTTTACCAAAGAAACATTTATGTTTCTAGATGCTGTGGGGGAATGCAACCATGACTAAGCTGTAGCTATCCTTCAGAGGATGTCAATCTTACAGCAGAGATAAAACTGGCCAACAGGGGCTGGCCGAGTGATGCAGTGGTTAAGTTCACACATTCTGCTTCAGAGGCCTGTGGCTCACCAGTTCAGATGCCAGGTGTGGACCTACACACGGCTCATCAAGCCATGCTGTGGAGGCATCCCACATATAAAGTAGAGGAAGATAGGTATGGACGTTAGCTCAGGGCCAGTCTTCCTCAGCAAAAAAAGAGGAGGATTGGCGGCCGATGTTAGCTCAGGGCTAATCTTCCTCAAAAAAAAAAAAAAAAAAAAACTGAGCAACAAATATTCAATGGGGAAATGAAAAGAGATAGCAATGAAAGCTTGACTTTTAAAAAAAATAGAATTACGTTTTCTTGGTGAGGACATCAATACATCAATGTCAAGTCTTGTCCCCAATTCTAGAGATACAGATACACAATTTTGAATTTTCTCTCAGAAATAACAAGGTCCTACAGAGTGACACATATTTAAAAGCTGCATGTGAAACTGATAGATAGAGCATAATGTCAATTTATTGTTTTTTTATCCACTAGAACTATGCCTTTCTAGTGCATAGATTGCTTGTACAATCCATCATACCATCTTTGCAATGTCAAGGTACCCAGAAATCAGATGGTCTTGAGGGATAGTTCAACAAGGCTGTAGATAAGCCTGATGAGCTACTTTTGTTCCACAATACAATAATCCTCTCTGTTGAAAAGACCAAATACTTCTATCTATCTCAAATTGTTTTCCTTTTCCTTTACTTTGTCCTTCTCTTTCCCCTTTTCCTTCTTGTCTTGACTCTCAGGATTATTCTTAATTCTTCATTACTTCAACCAGTTAAAATAAAATTAATTATATTATAAATAAATTTGGATATACTTGTGAGATAAAAAAACATATGATGATTTACTACATAGGCTTTGAGGTCAAACTTGAATTCAACTCTCACATATGCCACTAGATAGCTGTGTGAGATTTAGAAATCTACTTAACATTTCTAGTCACAATTTATTCCTATGTAAAACAGGGGTAGGGCTGGCCCTGTGGCACAGTGGTTAAGTTCACACATTCCACTTCAGTGGCCAGGGGTTCGCCAGTTCAGATCCTGGGTGCAGACCTATGCGCCACTTGGCAAGCCATGCCGTGGCAGCATCCCACATATAAACTAAAGGAAGTTGGGCACAGATGTTAGCTCAGGGCCAGTCTTCCTCAGCAAAAAGAGAATTGGCAGCAGATGTTAGCTCAGGGCTAATGTTCCTCAAAAAAAAAATGGGGGTAATACTTACACCTCAAGAGTAGATGTAAAGATCAAATGATCTATGACAAAGACTGGCATATGATTAGTACTCAGTAAATGTAACCCATGATTAGTTACTCTTAAAGGACCACTCTTGTTTGTCAGGAATGGATGATGGATTTGAGTGTTTCCCAGGCCTCTATATGTTGACCAAGTATCTCAAGACTAAGACACATCCATGGATAAATAATCTTACTCATTTTGTCTAGAATTTTAAAAATTAATTTAACTCTTAGGATGTGACATTTACAGTTCTCATCTCCAAATTCTTGAGAATCCTTACTGTAGCCCTTTGTACAGGCTGTATCAAGTAATAAAAAATGAATATGTCAAGTCTCAAAGACAGTACCAAATGCCATGGAAATTCACAGATTTTTCAGCTGGGTTAATCAAGGAGGTGACATTTAAATTAACATATTCAAATGAGTGCCCTTCCTTTGAGCAACTAAACATTGACTATCATGATTCTCCATAACTTAGAGCTCTGGTTGGCTACTGAACACTTGAAATCTGGCTAGTCTGAATTAAGATGTGCTATAAGTATAAAATATACACTTATAATGAAAAAGAGCATATTAATTTTTATATTGATTACATGTTGAAATAATATTTTGTGTATAATGTGGTTACTAAAATATATTATTAAAATTAATTTCACCTTTTTCCTTTTAGTTTTTTAAATGTGAAAATACAAAGTCACATATTTGGGATATGTGTCTCTGGGCAAGATGGATTGACAGGGATCAGATTTACCCTTTTACCTAAAACAACCAAAAAATGTAAAAATTATAAAACAATGGCCTGCAAGACACTGAACATCAGACAACAAGAGACAGTTATCCCTGAGAGATGGAAATAAAGGGTGTGAGCCCTATGATTGCCCCAGCTTATTGTGCTGACATAGTTTCCAGACCATGGGGCAGAGAGGAGGAGCCTGGCAGATTCTCTGAGTTGAGGAGACAGAAGATCTACAGATGATGCCTATATTATTTTCCTATTGCATCTATAACAAATTACCACAAACTTAGTGGCTCAAAACAACATAAATTTATTCTCTTATAGTTCTGAAGGTTGGAAGTCCAAATTCAAGGTGTTGGCAAGGCTGAAGTCTGTCTGAAGGGTTCAGGGAGAGAATCTGTTTCCTTGTCTTTGTCAGCTTCTGGAACTCATTTGCATACCTTGACCCCTTCCTTGCAACACTCCAATCTCTTGCTTTAGTCAAACACATCTGCTACTTCCCACTCTGACCTCTTGCCTCTTTCTCATAAGAACCCATATGATTAAACAGGGCCTGCTCAGATAATGAGATAATCTCCTCAGCTCAAAATCTTTAATTTAATCCCCCATAAAAGTTTCCTTTCCCTATAAGGTACATGAACATATTTTGGAGTTCATTATTTAGCTTACCACGGTGTCCATCAAGGATTCAGTTGAATACTGATTAACACATGCATGTAAAGAAATTATCCAAAACTAAGTAGCATATGAACAGTGCTTGGCGCTCACACAGAGCTGGGATTAGTGCTGTTCCCACCAGCCAGAATAGAAAACCTCAAGATTCTCAGGGTAGAGTACACAGAAGGGTCTTGCTTCAGTTAGTGGGGAATAAATAGCTCTAGACTGAATGCTGCTCCAGATCCACCTAACAAATCTTAAAAGCAAGGCCCAAAAGTATCAAACACTTTCCAAGTAACTTAAATTCACCCCAGAACAAAGCTGAATAATATTTGTAGGAATATAAAAATATCCATCCCTCAACAAGGTAAAATTTGCAACGTCTGGATTCACTCAAAATATCAGGCATGCAAGAAATAGAAAAGTATAACCCATAACCTTGAGATATGTTCATCAATTAAAACTTACCTAGATGTTAGACTAGTGGTTTAAGACATTAAACCAGATATTTAAAAAAGTAAGTAGAGACATGTAAAATATTTTAAAAAGATAAATCAAACTTGGATTGATTAATGGAAGATTGGACATTGCAGAAGAAAAGGTTAATGAACTTGAAGACAGCAAGAGAAACTATCTCAAAAGGAACACAGACAGAAAACAAAAATTTTTTTAATGAGAAGAGCATCAGGAGTTGAGAATTTCAAGTGGTTTAACATATACACGATTGAAGTCTCAAAAGAGAGGAGAGATAGGGTGAAGAGAAAAATATTTGAAGAAACAATCACTGAGAAACTCCTATATTTGATTTAAAAAATATACCCACAGATCAAAGAAGCTCAATGAACAAGCACAAGAAAAATGAAGACTACATCAAGACAGTTTATAATCAAATTACTCAAAATCAGAGATAAAAATAAAATCTTAAAACAGCTAAAGAAAAAAAAATCTTAGGTACACAAAAACAAATATAAGGATACGAACAGACTTCTCATTGGGAAAGAGGCAAGCCATAAGACAGTAGAGCAACATAGTTAAAATACTAAAAGAAAAAATGTGGTCAACCTAGAATTCTACACCCTGTAAATATATATTTCAAAAAGTAAGAAAAAAATACTTTCAGACATACAAAAGCTGAAAGAATTCCTCAGTAGATTGATACTATAAGAAATATTAAAGGAAATCTTCCAGGTAGAAGAAAAATGAGGTCACATGGAAATATAGGACTACACAAAGAAAGGAAGAGCACTAGAATTAGTAACTACATGGATAATTATATAAGATTTTTCTTGTTATTTAAATATCTTTAAAATATCCTGGACTGTTCAGGCAAGAATAATAGCAATGTTATGTGTGGTTAATAAAAAAATGCAAAAGTAAAATTTCTGATAACAATAACATAAGGCTGCAAAGGGAGAAATGGAAGTGTACTATTGAAAGGTTCTTATATGTGAAATGGTAATATCACTTTAAGATAGACTGTAATGAGTTAAAGATGTATGCTATACACCATAAAGAAATCACTAAAATAACAAAACAAAGAATTATAACTAATAACCCAGCAAAGGAGATAAAAATCATAAAAGTACTAGATAAATAAATTTTTTTTAAAAGCCAGAAAAAAAAAGAGGCAAAGGAAAACTGCTATCATCTGAATGTTTGTGGCCCCACCAAATTCACATATTGAAATCCTAACGTCCAGTATA